AAATTGTAGCGTGTCTAGTCTCCGTCGTATCATGCGCGCATCTCATGGTGTATTTCCCCCGCCAGGAACCAGCGGGAGGAGGACCTGCGTGAGAACCACCCGTACTTCGACACGCCGCTGTTCGCGGTGGGGCGGGAGAGCAGGTTCAGGAGGCTGTGCCAGTGCATCGTGCACTCCCGCTACGACACCAGCGTCAAGGACCCCGTCACTGGCAAGGAGAGGAAGACCAAGTACAAGCGTCTGAGGTGAGGGGAGACCTGGGGAGAGGGAGATGAGGAAGGGGGGTAGAGGAAGACCTAATACAAGAGTCGATGTGATGGGAGGTGATGGGTGGGAGTAAGCAGAGGAAGACCAAGTACAAGCGTCTCAGGCGAGGGTAGCCCTACAGGGAGGGAGATGAGGGGTGATGGGAGAGAAAGGCGAAGTACAAGCGTCTAAGGATAGGGTAGATTTGGGGGAGAGGGGTAATGGGTGAGGGTAAGGAGAGGAAGACCAAGCACAATGGCCTGAGGTGATTGTAGCCCTCAGAGGATGGGATAATGGGTCAGGCCAGTGACTCCTGGGTGAAGGCATAACAACATAACGACTTTTGTGCGAGGACGCCTCCAGGATGAAGGCAACTCTATTATGACATTGTAGTGGGCGTTTTATGGACTTTGTATGGACGTTGTATGGACGTTGTATGGACGCTGTATGGACGTTGTATGGACGCTGTATGGACGTTGTATGGACGCTGTATGGACGTTGTATTGTAGCACCGCCTGTTGCAGGAACCTGCTGGGACTGGTCACCTACCTGGACTGGGTGATGATTATGGTGACGACCGTCTCCTGCTGCTCCATGATGATGGAGACGGCAGAGCTGCGGGTCATGGAGAACTCCGAGCTCCAGGTGCGTGTCTCCTGGAGAACTAATATGGAGAACTAATAGTTAATCTGTTACTGCAACTCATATTTTACGTTACACTATAACTTTACATTATTACCTCAAACTATAACGCTACAGTAAATCGTTGCACTGTAATTTTACACCATAACGTTCCACTATAAGAAAATACTTTAACGTTGCACTACTACGTTCCACTTTAACGTTACACTTAAACGTTATTGATACGCTGTAATGTTACACTATAACACTGCTCTATAACTTTACGATATAACATTAGGTACACTATAACGTATAGTACAAAGTACCTCCCCCCCTCCAGGTAGCGGAGTATCTGTTCGTGGTGTTCATGTCGCTGGAGCTCACGCTCAAGATCCTGGCCGACGGGCTGCTCTTCACACCCAAGGCCCTCATCAGGGACATGGCCGGCGTGCTGGACCTCTTCATCTATACAGTGCGTGCTGTGTAGTGCTGTGTAGTGCTGTGTTGTGTGGTGCTGTGTTGTATTGTCTGCTCTTCACACCCAAGGCCCCCATCAGGGACATGGCTGGCGTGCTGGACCTCTTCATCTATACAGTGCGTGCTGTGTAGTGCTGTGTAGCGTTGTGTTGTATTGTGTTGTGTTGTATTGTCTGCTCTTCACACCCAAGGCGCTCATCAGGGACATGGCCGGCGTGCTGGACCTCTTCATCTATACAGTGCGTGCTGTGTAGTGCTGTGTTGTGTTGTGTAGTGCTGTGTTGTATTGTCTGCTCTTCACACCCAAGGCGCTCATCAGGGACATGGCCGGCGTGCTGGACCTCTTCATCTATACAGTGCGTGCTGTGTGGTGCTGTGTGGTGATGTTTAGTACTGTATTTTATTCTGTTGTACTGTTTAGTGCTGTGCTGCGTTGTGTTGTGCTGTGTGTTGTTGTGCTGTGTTGTGTGGTGTTGTGCTGTGCTGTGCTGTGCTGTGCTGTGTTGTGCTGTGCTGTGCTGTGCTGTGCTGTGCTGTGTTGTGCTGTGCTGCGTTTTTATTGTATGATACCTATTTTGTTTATCGTTACCATATTTCTTATTTATTTGTATTCAGAAGACTTCTCACTTTCAGTGAAGAAGAAGAGTAGGCCTCATTAGGCATCGTAGCAGTTGTTTTGTCTTTCTTCAAGCTCATGACTTACAAACTATAGCAGAGCTTTGATGTATTAAGTTATAAACCGCAATACAAATATTTCACTTTAAATAGATTTATTTTTAACGCTGGCACCTTGGAAATTTTATAGCAATACAGATTTTCGCTGCATAAATTTCAAGATCTAACCTTTGCTTAATAGGACGAACGTTAATATTGACAATCAACGCAACAACTAGTATGAGCCTGTAGTTCATATTAACTGTGACAAGTTCCATTTGGGTGCAAGGGTCCTTAGGATTAGACCAGCCACGGTACTGGCAGCAGTTCATAGGATCAGACGTGTTACATGCACTCGTGCAAACAGGAGTTCATAGGATCACGTGTGTTCCTGTAAGTGTACGTGTGTTCCTGTACGTGCACGTTAGTTTCTATACGTGCACGTGTGTTCCTATACGTGCACGTGAGTTCCTATACGTGCACGTGAGTTCCTATACGTGCATGTGTGTTCCTATACGTGCACGTGTGCCCCACGTTCTCCTGTAAACGTGTTCGCACCCCTATACGTGCACGTGTGTTCCTATGCGTGCTCGTGGGTTCCTATACGTGCACGTGTGCCCCTACACGTGCACGTGTGCCCCTATACGTGCACATGTGTCCCTATACGTGCACGTGTGCCCCTACACGCGCACGTGTGCCCCTATACGTACATGTGTTCGCAGGTGTCGCTGGTGTTCATCTGCTGGATGCCTGCGGAGGTGCCGCCGCAGTCTGGGGCGCACCTGCTGATGGTGCTGCGCTGCCTGCGGCCGCTGCGCATCTTCAACCTCGTGCCTCACATGCGCAAGGTCGTGTCGGAGCTTGTGAGGGGCTTCAAGGAGATCCTGCTGGTGAGTGTCGGAGCTTGTGAGGGGCTTCAAGGAGATCCTGCTGGTGAGTGTCGGAGCTTGTGAGGGGCTTCAAGGAGATCCTGCTGGTGAGGGCCATTATGAGGGGCAACATGAGGGCCACCATGAGGGGCGCCATGAGGCTTACTGGGGGGGCCCAGCTGTGTTGTCCTGCGTGTCTGGGAGTCCTGCGGGAGTTTTGCAGTAGGACTCGCAGAAAAAAACTTGGGTCGTGGATGGCACTTCTGACGTATCCTGCTGCAGGTGATGATAATTAGCTGTGAACCAAGGATATCGTTCCCTGTGTAATGGCAAATATTCTTTAGTGTTGCGCCATTGTGCTGCTCATACTGCTGCTGTTGCAGGTGTCTGTGCTGCTCATACTGCTGCTGTTGCAGGTGTCAGTGCTGCTCATACTGCTGCTGTTGCAGGTGTCGGTGCTGCTCATACTGCTGCTGTTGCAGGTGTCGGTGCTGCTCATACTGCTGCTGTTGCAGGTGTCGGTGCTGCTCATACTGCTGCTGTTGCAGGTGTCGGTGCTGCTCATACTGCTGCTGTTGCAGGTGTCGGTGCTGCTCATACTGCTGCTGTTGCAGGTGTCGGTGCTGCTCATACTGCTGCTGTTGCAGGTGTCGGTGCTGCTCATACTGCTGCTGTTGCAGGTGTCGGTGCTGCTCATACTGCTGCTGTTGCAGGTGTCGGTGCTGCTCATACTGCTGCTGTTGCAGGTGTCGGTGCTGCTCATACTGCTGCTGTTGCAGGTGTCGGTGCTGCTCATACTGCTGCTGTTGCAGGTGTCGGTGCTGCTCATACTGCTGCTGTTGCAGGTGTCGGTGCTGCTCATACTGCTGCTGTTGCAGGTGTCGGTGCTGCTCATACTGCTGCTGTTGCAGGTGTCGGTGCTGCTCATACTGCTGCTGTTGCAGGTGTCGGTGCTGCTCATACTGCTGCTGTTGCAGGTGTCGGTGCTGCTCATACTGCTGCTGTTGCAGGTGTCGGTGCTGCTCATACTGCTGCTGTTGCAGGTGTCGGTGCTGCTCATACTGCTGCTGTTGCAGGTGTCGGTGCTGCTCATACTGCTGCTGTTGCAGGTGTCGGTGCTGCTCATACTGCTGCTGTTGCAGGTGTCGGTGCTGCTCATACTGCTGCTGTTGCAGGTGTCGGTGCTGCTCATACTGCTGCTGTTGCAGGTGTCGGTGCTGCTCATACTGCTGCTGTTGCAGGTGTCGGTGCTGCTCATACTGCTGCTGTNTGTGCACCACATATGTGTTGTTTTATACAATATTTTGCTGTTGTAAAAGTTTTTTACATTCTGTGTAATTGCAGCCTGTGCTCCCACACATTTACTCTACACACCTTCAGGCATTGAAATGCAACTATCAATTAATATGTGAACGACAGGAAACTGTCATCCCCAAAAATACTTGTTTTTAATTATTCACGTGTTAAGTTTTTAATGTGCTATCTGCTAAACCATTTTTATCGTTCACAAAATGTAAGAAACCGCACGCGTCACGTAATCGTGTCATACACACAACAGAGGAACTTGTACGCTACTGAACGCTACGTAGTTAGCCGAACGTTAGACACGGCATTGTAGGTTTGATAAGTGAAGTACAGTTGCCTGAAATTCATTTATATATTGTCCTGGGACCATACTTTCAAAACTCACTAAGTGAACGTAAGTACTTACGCTCTATTTTCTTGTCTATGATTGGTGGATTTTGCTTGAAAGACCGTCAGGGATTGGCTGATGAACTTACGATCTCTTAACTTTTTTTTTTTTTGAAAGTATAGGCCCTGGCCTGGAGCTGGAGCTACAAGAGTTCGCCCCTGATTGTAGCGAACTGTAGGTTCAACTAACGTTAGTTAGCTTGTAGCAGGTCTGGCCGGTGACAAATACATACATCCTCGCCCTCATTAACACCCGCCCCCGCCTCATTAACATCTCCCCCGCCTCAGGGCCAACCCCCGACGCTTCAACTTCGACAACATCGGCAACGCGATGCTGGCGCTGTTCGAGGTGCTGTCCTTCAAGGGCTGGCTCGATATACGCGACATCCTTATTAGGAGACTCGGCACGGTGGGTGATGGTGGTGCTTGTGGTGCTGGACATACGCGACATCCTTATTAGGAGACTCGGCACGGTGGGTGATGGTGGTGCTTGTGGTGCTGGACATACGGGACATCCTTATTAGGAGACTCGGCACGGTGGGTGATGGTGGTGCTTGTGGTGCTGGACATACGGGACATCCTTATTAGGAGACTCGGCACGGTGGGTGATGGTGGTGCTTGTGGTGCTGGACATACGGGACATCCTTATTAGGAGACTCGGCACGGTGGGTGATGGTGGTGCTTGTGGTGCTGGACATACGGGACATCCTTATTAGGAGACTCGGCACGGTGGGTGATGGTGGTGCTTGTGGTGCTGGACATACGGGACATCCTTATTAGGAGACTCGGCACGGTGGGTGATGGTGGTGCTTGTGGTGCTGGACATACGGGACATCCTTATTAGGAGACTCGGCACGGTGGGTGATGGTGGTGCTTGTGGTGCTGGACATACGGGACATCCTTATTAGGAGACTCGGCACGGTGGGTGATGGTGGTGCTTGTGGTGCTGGACATACGGGACATCCTTATTAGGAGACTCGGCACGGTGGGTGATGGTGGTGCTTGTGGTGCTGGACATACGGGACATCCTTATTAGGAGACTCGGCACGGTGGGTGATGGTGGTGCTTGTGGTGCTGGACATACGGGACATCCTTATTAGGAGACTCGGCACGGTGGGTGATGGTGGTGCTTGTGGTGCTGGACATACGGGACATCCTTATTAGGAGACTCGGCACGGTGGGTGATGGTGGTGCTTGTGGTGCTGGACATACGGGACATCCTTATTAGGAGACTCGGCACGGTGGGTGATGGTGGTGCTTGTGGTGCTGGACATACGGGACATCCTTATTAGGAGACTCGGCACGGTGGGTGATGGTGGTGCTTGTGGTGCTGGACNCGCTGTTCGTGGGCGTCGTCATCGCCAACTACTCGGAGAACAAGGGCACCGCCCTCCTGACGGTGGACCAGCGTCGCTGGTGGGTGCCTCGCTTGCGTGGTCATCTTAGAGAACTCTTTTGAGTTACACTTCCATGAGGGCTTCTCTAATGAGTTCTGGGATGATAATAAGTTCTCGAATGATAACGAGTTCTCTCATTGATGTCCCTTTTTAAGGCACCTCTTTTTCATGCTTCTCTTTAAGGCGCCTTTTTTCATGCCTCTCTGAGGCTCCTCTCATGGGCGCCACTCTTGGGTTTTTTGATGCCCCTCTTTAGTGCCGCTCTCGAGTACGTTGTAAATAGTTACTAGCCTTAATAGGTTAATTGGTAATTTAATAATTTGTACACGACAAAATTCACACAGCCAGAAATTATTACCGCCATGCGTACGTGTAAAATTACAGCTGGGGGTACCTCATTTTTTGCTGTACCTCATTTTTTTTGTGGCCCCAAGCTGTCCCGTATTTATTGAGTTTAGTGGAGACTCAACTTCATTTACGACAGTTTTAATTTAAAAATTCCGAAATGTGTGTTCGTTGATACGGTGCTCACTGTTGTTACGGTTTTACTTGATGCAACCTGTACCCCATGACCCCAAGCTGTACCCTTTGACCCCAAGCTTGTACCACATGACCCCAAGCTGTACCCCATGACCCCAAGCTGTAC